GTATGAGCAGAGTTTGACACTAGAGGAATGTTTTCACATTCATCTGCTGAAAGGTTTCAGATTTTAAGGGGTGAGCATGATTTGTGACATCACAAATTATTTGCAAGGTTTGGAAGTCAACCCTGGTCCAGTATACAATTTATGTAATGTAAAAGATTAAAGCTACCAGTGCACATAAACTGAGAATGTAGGAGACATCTTGTATCCAGAAGGAAAAGTCTAAATGCTGAAACATTTAATGAGGTAGAAGGAGTAGGTGCCTTTTTAAGGATTTTAATGTGGAAATTGTACTTTTTTGCAGAAAAACAGACGCATAATTTTTCCTGCCAGACTATTTATATATTTCATAATACATGTCTGAAGGGGATCTTTAAATATACAACTTTATTTAATCATTTTCCTCATTTTGCTCTTGCAATTTGATTTAAAGTTTTACTGTTAAATGTTTTTTAGTTGTCCGGCTGGTGGGGGCAGGTCTGTGATCTGCGTCCCAAGTAGAGGTGAAAGTGGAAGTATCCACACTTGACATATTTTTTGTCTTGTCTGGGAAAATCTTTTCTCCCATTAAACAAACCAACCAAAAAATATACGGCTGAAATATTTCACTTGCTTCAAATGCAGCCTTATGTGATTTGAAATGTGTCTTGCACAAATGCTAATACAAGCCAGATTGCTCTCTAACATCACAACGGTTTTGTTTCACACTGAAATAAATCTTCACTTTAGTGATCCTTATTAATTTAAAAGCTGTTTTTCAAAACAAAACAGAAAAGTAGAGTACAAACAGCTTGCTTGAGTATTGGGGAATCCCGCCTTTTCATTTTAATCGTACCTCTTAAAAAAACGTCTGCACGGAGCAGCGTTTTTGTAAATTACTGTACTTAATTGATTTCTCGCAGAACTCATCAGCATCAGTCAGACGTTTCTCATGTGCCTGAGAGAGATCACAAGGGCTCAGTCACACACTCACGCATGCACTCTAAATCATTTATCATCAAATCAGCAGCTACACAAGAAAATACATCTAAATATCCTCCTACTTTTCTAGATTCCTGCTTTCTGTGTGACAACTTCCCTTTAGTATAGTTTCATGTAATAAAAGTCCCAGAAAAGTACAGTAAACAGCCATATTATTGACAGAAGTTTCAACTCTAATTAGATTTTATTAAGAACCTATTTGTGTGCAGTCGGCCCTTGTTACCCAGCAGAGGTCCCTCTGTGAGCTGAGTGGTTCAGGTGTGTGTTTCTCCCCACTGACTGAGAGACAAGAACAGACAAGTTCTGTCACCCATCAACACACCACAGACCCACACTCAGAGGACAAGGCACGACTTTGGAACAGTAGCTGCACCGTAACGTTGCGTAAAGACTGTACAAGTTACCACATGCAGCTGCCAATTAACTCCTGGCCTGTGGCAGTTTATCCGTGTGCAGATGAACAAACTGATTTGTATTTACAGTAGGAAAGGAGAGAGAGAAATGAAATTATGGGATGTTTCTTTAAATTAGTTTGATGTAGAAGTGTGTGTTTGTGCGTGTTTGGTGGTCCAGGGTCCAGTTTGTGCCCTTGGACGGAGACAGTGAAACACATTTTAGGCCACACTTCATTTTACACACCATTAATGAGATCATAATGCTTTTGTGTTTGCTAAATTTGACTAAAATGAACAAAGTCTTAATTAAAGATTAATACTCCCTCAGTCAGTCACTGTAATCCAGTGTCCTGCTCTTCACTTCTGCACTGTTGAATCTGTTCTCAGGTTACCCCGTGCAACACATCTCCCTTGAGAGCAGCTCAGACACCTGTCACACTTTGCTGTTTCCTTGCTGTCTGCCACGGCGAGAGCTCTCCCAACTCCTTTCTGCATCTACATAGCATGGAAATCGGCAGCTTTTTGCTTGGAGTATGCGTCTTTTTCCACTTTTATGGATCTGTTTCAGCAGAGGCCACATGCAAGCTAAAGGCCAAGTTCAACCTGAGCGGCTACAAGAATGTAGAGAAGAAGAAGGTTGTTATCGGGGGGATGTTTCCTGTTCACAAGCGTATTGCTTCCACTGATGGCAACACTTCGAGGGTGCCCGTCTCCTCAGGGTGTGAGGGGTGAGTTAACAGCCTTTTTTCATCATTGTGACTGTGTTGGCTTAGTCTCTATAAGCATAAATTGTTACAATGCATTATACTAATCTTAGATAATCTCACAGGCTTCTTAAAGTTAAATTAGTTGATATTTTAGCCCTTAAAATGAGAAATATTTTACTTGACTGACTTAATTATATGTTTTAACCATACAGCGCTTCTGACATCTCTTAACCTTATGATTTTGCTACAGAAATCAAGACAGCGCAGGGCAGCACCTCTGGGGCCAATTAGCCACTGCAGACCATATTATTATGGAGACAGGCCTTTATAGTGTAGTGTGCAACAATAACTGTCCTCTTGTGGCTAATTTAAGTAATAACATCAAACGACTAGAATAGTGTGTGTATATCTTCCAGTAATTAAGAATTTTGCACATATACTGAATGTCGAGTTTTTTGCAGAGTAAAACATACTGTTATGTCATCCCTCTCCCATTATCCTCCAGGTTTAACTTCCGCACCTTCCGCTGGACCCAGACAATGCTGTTTGCCATCGATGAAATTAACAGCAGGGACGACCTGCTGCCCAACACCGACCTGGGCTACGTCATCTACGACTCCTGCTTCACTATCTCCAAGGCCGTGGAGGGAACCCTCACCTACCTGACGGGCCAAGACGAGGCCGTACCCAACTACCGCTGTGGGACTGGGGCGCCTCTGGCTGCTCTAGTGGGTGCTGGGGGCTCCGACCTGTCCATTGCCACCGCTAGGATACTTGGACTCTATCACTTCCCACAGGTAGGCCAGTGGTGAGTTACATAAAGCAAGATAAAGACGAGGTAAGTTAACAGATGGGAAGAAGTTCATTAGAAAACTCTAAGAAAACCTTGTGTGTCTACTCTGTCACCTTTAGGTCAGCTATTGTTCAACCTGCTCCGCCCTGGAAAGCAAGTTCCAGTTCCCCACCTTCCTGAGGACCATTCCCAATGACAAGCACCAGTCTACAGCTATTGCCCAGCTGGTGCTGCACTTTGGCTGGACTTGGGTGGGCACCATCGCTGCCGATGATGATTATGGCAAGTATGGTATCAAAGACTTCAAGGAGCAGGTGGAAGAGGCCGGTGTCTGCATCTCCTTCTCTGAGACCCTGCCCAAGGTAACCAGTCAATGTTTCACTACCCCACGTGTTGCACATAATGCCATGCCATGTCTTCTCCCGTTTTCATTCCTTCTTTTTTATAAACTTCAGGTGAGTTCCCCAGAGGCCATAAAGCGTATTGTTCAGACTGTAGTTGCGGCCACAGCCAAGATCATAGTGGTGTTCTCATCGGACGTGGACCTCAGCCCTCTTATCGCTGAGCTGCTCCGGCACAATGTGACCAACCGCACCTGGATCGCCAGCGAGGCCTGGGTCACCTCCGCTCTCATCAACGAGCCTGGGGTGAGAGCTCAGTAGAGCAGTGACCAAGGAGTCAAAGCACATTGATTCATTGACTGAAATTACAGCTACAGGCTAAAACTAGTCAATAAACAAAATTTGTAATTCACAATTTGAGCTGAAGTTGACAATGTGCATGTTTTTAATCCAGGTGAGCTCTTTGCTGGGTGGTACCATTGGCTTTGGGATAAAAAGGGCTGAAATTCCTGATCTTCAGCGCCATCTACTGGATGTGGACCCCTATGATGACACTCTCACTGAGGAATTCTGGGAGACGGTGTGTTTTTCTTTAAACTGACTAATGGGGGGGACATCTATTAGCCAAATGCAGCATCTGATTTTGATTGAAATGCAGCTAGGAACTCACATCTTGTCTTGAACTGACAATTGACTGAAACCTAGAGAGGGGTCACATTGATGAAAGTAAATCTGTGACTTTATTTTTTGTGTTATAGTTGTTTAACTGCACACTGGACTATAGCAGAGCTTTGAAGCTGGCCAAACAGGGGGCCATGGAGGTCAATGGCACACTGTCCAGGGCAGCGAAGGAGGTTCCTAATGGGCTGTGTACAGGGAAGGAGCCTCTGGCACAGCTCAATAACACCTACACTGATGTTTCCCAGTTACGAATCACTTACAGGTCAGTTCACAAGCATTACTGATTCCAGTAATGTCACCTCTCCAAAAACATTCTGTTCGTCTATAAGCCACCTCTATCACCTCCACCACTAAGAACATAGCACTGCTCTATGTGTCAGGCCACGGAGACAGTTTTGGTTTTATGAGCTGATGTGTGAAATGTCTGCTGCTGCTGCTGATGATGATGATGATGAAGATGTCTCCCCACAGTGTGTACAAAGCTGTGTACGCTGTGGCCCACGCCTTGCACAACCTGGAGTACTGTGTAGAGGGACAGGGGCCCTTCAATGGGAACGACTGTGCTAACATCACAAACTTTGAGCCATGGCAGGTGAGTTGTGTGTGTGTATGTGTGTGAGTACAACTGTTTTATGTGCATGTATTTGACTCAAATGTGTCTCTCTTCCTTAGCTGATGTACTACCTGAAGAACGTGCATTACAAAGTGCCGCACACGGGCGAAGAGGTTTATTTTAATGAAGGGGATGTAGAGGGTTTCTATGACATCATTAACTGGCAGTTCAACCATAACGGGGAGATTTCCTACATCACTGTGGGACACTACAATGCCTCAGCAGCCCTAGAGGACAGGATGACCATAATGAATGACTCCATTGTGTGGAACAATGACATCTTGAAGGTCAGCAGCATATATATTAAGACAATTCACAGTATGTGACTTTCTCTGTACTTGTGATGCGTATAAATTGGTGTGTTGCAGCCTCCTCGATCAGTGTGCAGCGAGAACTGCCGGCCAGGCACCAGGAAGGGAATCCGGCAGGGAGAGCCAGTTTGCTGCTTTGACTGCATCCCGTGTGCCGATGGAGAGATCAGCAACACAACTGGTCAGTATACAGACATGACAATACCTTACAGGAAGGTCTGAACGTCTAGTGAATAAAGTGAGTAAATGTTATTCTCATTAAACAAACCAAACAACCTCATATTCTATT